TGAGGTAGTAAAAGTGTCATGTAATAAAGAAAAGTGTCATGGAAATATTTAGCCAAACGCTTTATGTAACTACTAGATAAGTTATTTAGAATTCAAATTGCTGTTTTCAAAACAGCAAAAGTTTCACAGCCTAAAATCCTAAATGATTGTAGAAAATATATATCGGAAGAACCCAAAATTACTAGAAGCCACGTAATTAGTATGCACGTGTGAACATGTTTACTAAAGTAAATCACATTGGTCAATAGATTTGTAAAATACTAGAGCATATGCTTGGCTGGTAGACTTACACGTTTGGCCATAATGTGTAAGTTTGCCAACTAAGTATTTTATTGCGAATAAATAATTGAAAATAAAAAATTATCAATTATATCAAAATTTTTGTTCGTTTATTTACATGAGTCTTTGTTACATTTTGACGCTCAAATTATTTTACATAAGTACGAGTATAAACTACAACCTTGGCTTGTACTCTAATAATATTCGATATGTGTCTGATTTACGTATTTTATATACCTACTCTAGACTGGGACAAAGCATCGTGGTTTATGCATTTTCGAAAATCAGTTTCAAGAGTACTGTCCCTGGTTTGAATATATATTTTTTCTTCCACCAACAAATTATCTAGAGAAAGCAGTTTCTAACGGATTCTACCCAGCCGCAATTACGTAAAGGTCAAATTTCTGCAAGCAAAATGAACTTTTAATATAATATTTTCAATCTTAAAATCCATTGTATTTTTTACTGTACATAAATGTTTATTTATTCATTAAATTAACATTAAAATTAAAAAAGTATTATATGCTTAATTTATTTACATTATGCGTAGCGTAAGCCACAAGCGACACTTTAAGCTAACGGCCGTGGTAAAAACAACATCGATTAAACATGTACGCTTTTTGGCATACCACCAAAATGTGGACACCGTGTAATTAAATGCGACTCCTGGGTCGCCATTTAGTGAATCGCACACGCCATTTTACTATTTCTTTTATTTTCAACGGCCACTCATATTAACTGAAAATTGTAAAGCGTTTTTTTTGGTAAGTTTCATGAAACAGTAGGTAATATGAGAAGCTGATCTGAAATTCAATTTAAGAAATATATTTTTTTTAAATGATTAATTGTAATGACATATTGAAGTATTGGTTAGTTGTAATTAAAAATAAATATAAGATAACATGGACTCAAATCTCAAGTATATTTATTTATTTATTTATTTATTTATTTATTTATTCAACAAAGTTTCAACAGCAGTTTAGTTATTTTTATACAAAAATAAGTATGCAGCATTGACGCCAATTATAGAAACTTATTATGTTTACAAATCTTATTAATTATATAATCATAATGAGGGCAGTTAGCAAAGAAAATATATGTATTAGACAAAAATATACATATTTATAAATTATATAAATTATATCGCACGACAAATATGGTGTATGTATCTATGTGTGTGTGTGTGTGTGTATGGATGAGTTTAAGTGTTTAAATAAAGTATGCGTAACTAGAACTTCAATTCATAATTACATAATTACGTTATTAACTCTAAAGACGGGGCCGAGTTGAGCACACGGCGACCGCGTGTCGAGTGGGTAAGGCAGGCAAAGATACCTACGGTACAGAAGCACATTCTACTGTCTGGCTTACATGGCGCAAATAACAACAACTCAAACAGACAATGGCTCGTTAAGAATTATTAATTAAATTAACTCGATTAGGTATAAATAATAATAATCATAACAATAATAATAACAATCATAATAACAAAAAATAATAATAGTAATAGAATTAATTATCATCTCAATTAATGACGATCCACAGTGATAGACTTGACCAAAGCAGCCCTAAATGCATTTCTGGACATAGAGAAAAGGTCAATTCCGGAAAAGCATTTATTGTAAGTTCTAGGTAATCTGACTGTCACGTCATTAGCCTCATAGTTTGTTCTTACAAGGGGTATATGACATAGTTCCGTGTGTCGCGACCGTTTCGTTGGTGCATTCAAAGACACCATTCTGTTAATTAACCCGATGCAATCTAATTGTCCCGAATAGATATCGTAAAGAGTAAGCATATCTCTTATACGACGCCTGTCCTTAAGACTAACGAGACTGTGCTTACTACAGGACTCCTCGTAACTACCTGAGATATAGTTGAGTCTGAAATTCAAGTATTTAACGAACTTCATTTGTAGTCTTTCAAGAGCGTGTTCGTGCGTGACATATTTTGGATTCCAGACAACACTACAATATTCAAGGATAGACTGTACATACGCATAATACAATACTTTCATACAAGTGGCGTCTTTAAACTCCTTAGTTACTCTAAAAATAAATCCGAGATTTTTGTATGCCCTGTTAATTATGTTTTCAAAGTGATTGGCAAATGTTAATTTTGAATCCAAAATCACTCCTAGATCCCTTACCGTAATAACCCTTTTCAATGGTTCATTATTTAATTTATAATCATATTCTATAGGTTGTTTGCGTCTTGTGAATTTAATATGCATGCATTTTCCAGTGTTAACTGTGATCTTGTTGTTAATGTAATATTGTGTAAGGCGATCAAGGTCCTCTTGTAGTTTTAAACAGTCCTCATGTGTACTTGTTTTCATATAAATTTTAGTGTCATCTGCATAGAGTAAAATCTTAGCATGCCTGAGACAGGCGGTTATATCACTAATATATGCTATGTAGAGCAAAGGACCGAGCAATGAGCCTTGTGGCACACCGGAGGGTATACGTATGTAATCCGAGCGAACTCCTCCAATCACCACAGCCTGTTTACGGTTCGATATATAAGACTTCATCCACCGATACAGATCACCGCGTATTCCTAGGTAATAAAGCTTTTGCAAAAGTATGACATGATCCACGCGGTCGAAAGCTTTTTCGAAGTCCGTGTACACCACGTCAATCTGCGACTGGCAACCCATACCGCGGCGTAAGTCGCTAACGAATAGACTTAAGTTTGAATCTGTTGATCTTCCTTTTATGAAGCCGTGTTGTTCACAAGGTATACCTTGCTTTAGAATGGGGTATATTCTGTTGTATACGATTCTTTCTAGACATTTTCCGAATACGTTTAAAATAGAAATAGGGCGATAATTCTCAATTCTACATTTGGAGTCTTTTTTGTGTATTGGAACTATATGTGCTTCTTTCCATTTTGACGGATAAACTCCCTCGACAATACAACGATTAAAAATTATATATAATGGAAAAGAGAGTGCCGCGGCACACTTAATTATAAAGGATGGTGGAATTTCATCACTACCGGCGCCCTTTTTTGCGTCTAAGGCAGAGAATTGCCTTTGAACCTCAGCTTGGGATACTGAGAAGGAATGAATTAACTCATTCGACCTGTGCGAAAGATTATCCCCATCGGAGTAACCTCCCGCTGATGAGTGAACAAACATACGCTCAAAGTAACTATTGAATGCCGAACAAATGGTTTTACTATCAGAAAGTTGCATATTGTCATAGTTCATTGTACTAGGATAACCTGTTTTGTGCTTACGCTTGGAATTTACGTACGACCAAAGTAGTTTTGGGTTAGATTTCATGTTTTCTTGACAAAGTGTTAAATAATTTTGATAACAAGTATTTTGAATAACTTTAACTCTCTTTCTTAACAGGGAAAATTCATCGTAATCAAGTGGATTATTGAATCGTTTCCAGCGACGATGCGCGTTTTGTTTTTCCCTCAATAGGTGAGTCAGTGCACGGCTGTACCATGCCGGATATTTATTAGAAAGGCTGGTATCGACACAAGGAACGTGCATATTGATGACTTGATGTAGAACTGAGTATAGGGCATTGACGGAATCGTCAACAGTGCCTGATGACAATATATCCTCCCATTCAATATTATGTAACTCCATATTAATAGTGTCGTAGTCGGCTTTTTTATATAATTTTCTTTTCCTGTTGCACCTAGGTAAGTTGCTCACCAAAATATCGCTTGCATCGATATTTAGAGTGGTGTGTTGTGAGTCTTCTTTTACCAGAGCAGAGGTTGATATGCGAATATTCACACTAAAATTACTAAAGAAAAGGTCAATTGTGTTACCCGCGCTGTTAGTGAAAAAATTACTCTGATGAAGGCCCAGAAAATTTGTCTTGTTTACTAAGGATATTCCTGCGTTTTGTAAATCGACGCAGCCTTTTCGCAGATACGTCGGACCAGACTCTTTCCACACTATATTAGGTAAGTTAAAATCTCCCGCCAATATAAACAGATCATGATCATTATTAAAAGTATTAGCAACATTGGTAATTAATTGTACAAAATTATTAATATGAGACGGTAAGGCACGTCCTGGCGCCATGTAAGCCAACGCTATATGCAAATCTTGTTCTAAGCCTATTGTGCGGCCGTCTACGGTAACCCACACACACTCAACTTGATCGCAATGCCACTCGACGCGTGCGCGCGCGCTCAGTCGTCGGTTGCACATGATCATGACACCGCCCCCGTTCGATCCCCTATCACGGCGGAATATCTCATACCGACTATCACCTAATTCGGAATCTAAAACGCTGTCGTTTAGCCACGTCTCTGTTATTAAAATTATGTCATGGTCCGAGAGAAGCAGATTATTATAAAATTCTAGTGTTTTAGTTCGGAGACCACGAACATTTTGATAGAATATGTTTAATGTGTGACCGAAAATTCTAAATCAGTATCTAAATATATAAACAAAAATGATAGTTTAAAGTATAGATAACATTTATTATTGCTATTGAATGGCTTATGAACGATGGTACCGAAAAGTGAATAGTAGATTTTAATAGGTGTTAAAGAATTGAGTAATAGTTTTTTATGTGTATACTTTCTGTTAGTGGATAGTGTTATTGATTGTATATATGTATTCTTAGTGTTAAGTAAGTATGAAGTGTTGTCGTGCAATGAAATGGCGATAAGGTAATGAGTGAATTCAATTGAAATATAAAAACAAACAATAGATAGTACTAACAATGGCTGGTATATATGCACTATATAATCTTCTTCAGGTCGTCTTCGCAAGATATTAGCAAATACGGTGAATTTTCGGCTTTCCTTGTATATATACGGCAGTTTTTTGTCCAAACGAATTTGTAGTTGTTAGTTTTAGCTGTTTTTTTACAGCTTGACAACAGTTGTTTATTATGTATTGTTAAGTGTTCGTTAATATAAATATTTTTAAGTTCACCTTGCATTCCAATATCCCTGGACGTGATTCCTCCACATTTGCGAGCAGCTGACAATATTGCATCCCTTTTGTTGCGGTTTTGAAAGCGAATCACTAAGCTTCGTGGTTGTCCCTTGACCTGCCTCTTTGCTTGAATACGATGAATGAAATCCATTTCATGAGGATCGAGGGGCACATTAAGATGTTTGACTATTTTATTCAAGATATCTGGCAAGGACTCGTCTTTAGCCTCTGGGACACCAACTATCTCAATATTTTGAAGTCTTGACCATTGTTCCTGTCTTAATGATGCCTCTTCCATATTATTTAACTTGGTTTGAAGCATTTTAATCTGATCATTAAGGCTTTTATTTTCAGTCTGTAATTTTTTAACAGAAGATGTGCTTTTTTCAACCGTAGTTTTAATACCGTCATATAAGTCGCTTACTGTCCTGACGGTTTTTTCTAGTTCTAAGAATTTACTCTCCAATGCTTTTGACACCGAATCCGTAACTTTAGCGAGGAAGTTAGGCAACTCACGGCGAAATACTTGTTCCAGTTCTGTTCTGATTGTTCCTAGAATGTCGTATGGCTTTTCATCGTCAACAGAGCCACTGCCGCTGACCGCTGGTGGGTTACGTGAACGGCTTTTGGTGTTAACAAACTCTTCTTCGCTACATGTGGTCTTTACTGGTGTATCAGAGTTATCTCCACGACGAGTCTGTTTGATCTTACATGCTGGACATACCCAAGTTGATGATGAATTACCTTGCTTATTGGGAACACAAGCGAGGTGATATTGAAGCTTGCATGTGGGTCTTGAACACGATAATACGCTATCCTTTTGCTTTATATCACTATCACAGGAGTTGCACTTCACCATGGTGAGATAATGTGTGAAAAATTTCACGAGAAAGCTCAAAATCGCAGTAAATTCTATTACGTATACTTCAAACTGTAATTGTTCTAATAAAAGACAACGTTTCTTGATCCTTAATAGAAGAAAACTTAATTTTTGAAGACAAAATGCAAGAGCTATTGTTTCTGTGTCGACTACCCGTCAAAATACGCAAAAATATAAAAATATGAAGCAAATATGGTAACACAACATCCTGATCCGAGGCAATATAGATTTTTTTTTTTGTATATATTGTAAATACAGGATTGAGACAGTTATTTCATCTTATAAAACCTACGTTGAAAATATTTTAATTGAAAACCTAACTATGAAAGAAAATATATTTCAGCTTCCCTGCCGTAGCGAAGCTCAGCTGCCGTATCCAAAAAGGTATAATACCCGCCATATTGTCTCTTATATAACCAAATAATATCAGGGAAAGTTTCCTCCAAGCTAAACTATGTCATATGGAGTATAGTATCGTATTTTGTCTGGGCCTTCTACCAAGACACGATGAATAATGTAGCGTAAAAATAATGAGCCTTCCTGCCCAAGACAGCTGTCTCTTCGCGAAAAGACTTAGTTACAAATGGATTTAGTAAATTAATAAGTTTACTGAATGCATATTTGGATATATTTATAATGGAGAACTTTTTTATTATGTCATACCTTTCACGCAACTGATAAATAACATATCGTTATGACAGGTGAGCAAAGAACTTTACTATATACGAACATTTGAATATCTGTGAAATATAATCGTTAATGGAAGTTTCCCAAACCTGATGTCCGAGATAAACATACTTTAATTTTTTTTTCCGATATAAATTTAAATCCAACCAAGCAAAAATGATTTTCTAAAAACTATTTTTTCATTTTTCTTAAAACAGATTTCGGGTTAATAATGTTGTTTATTTATATCTGTTCAAAAGAAAAAGTATGTTTGTAAATCTATATCTTTTAGGTAGTAAATATTTATGATTCACGTGTTTCATATGATTACATTCCTTTGGGAAATGTTTATGTTTATCTTTAAATTTATTTCTTTGATCATACATGACATTTCAGTCGATAATTTGTTTACCTAGTTCTTTACAAACTAATGTAGATTCAGGTCTGCATATTTAATATTATTCTGAACAAAACGAAAAACTTCGGTAATGCTCAGAATATCTGATCATATGAATTTTTTGAGCTTTTTTCTTATAGTTTCCTCGTCGTTGTAACTTTTACTTTAAGGTTATTTTGGCAATTTTTATAACCTAGTTAAATATCATAAAAAACCAACAAAAGATCTACCATCCTATTTACTGGTGATACAAAAGTAACATAAAATTCGTAAATACGCTACTTTTTTTGTAACTGCTATATATATTTTACATATGGCAACGATTAAGGAGCGAGCAACGATAAATTGAGATTTTAATTCAAAATAAACCGGTAAAAGTATCATTTGATGTAATCTGATTTGATAATTTAACGGGTTCACTGCTTCGGTTTTTACGATCCATTTGAACCGAGCTCGCAAATTTATATCATACTTGTCCTAATCTGAAGACAGAAAATGGGAATGGGAAATAAATAAGATTAAAATGTTCATAACAGACCTCCTTTTGAGGATTGGACCACTCATTAAAAATATAGAGCCTGATTGTTCTTTGCCTATAATTTATTGCTTTTTCTAGCCTAGGAAGGCCACGGACCTTTCATGATCAATCCTAGAATGTAATGCCATAGAAACCGGCGAGTATGTATGAAAAGAGTAATGAAAATGGATAAGGCGAAAGATGTATGTAAGAACCAGCCATTGTGGCGCTCGGTCCTCTGCCTACCCCGCCAGGGATACGGTGTAAAGATATAGATAGAACAAAATAAACATATAAGTTTCTCCCATTCAACAAGCGTGATTTTTTGCGTTTTTCAATAATACTCTTTGTACTCGCACTTGACCGTTTTTTTTAATATCGTAGCTCCACTTACCATCTTTATGGATTATATATTGAAAGCACTACGATTAAAAATAAAATTAATGACACAAGTAATTTAAAAAATAAATAATAAATGGATAGACATAATAGCAGCCACAATATTCGCATACCCGCTTAAAACACATCTCAGTTAATTTATTACAAGTACTTGAATATATTGCACATACTAAAGTAGTTAAGTAACAACACATCAAGGTTTCAAATAAAAAGAAGAAATTTGAAAGGTTTTACACAAGAATGAAACATTATAATATGCAGTTATATAGTATTTCAAATTATTGCCCAAATGTACCACATAAGTTTATGATCGATTTTCTCGCAAGGAAAAATAATTTTATCTACTATATTGATTTTATAATCTTATTTCGTATTAGTAGGGTGAGTGCACCAGTAGTAAGCCGATTAAGCAACATTTTGAAATTAATTTTGATGACGTGACTCAATTCTTGCAACAACCTTTCCACAAAAAACATTGTGTTCCAAAATAATCATATAATCATGTAGCTTATAGCTTTCTTAATTGCTATTATGTCTATTTCTGTAAAAAAAGGAATATGACGATGCAATGTGCATAAGGTAGTTTGTTCGTGGCATCTATGTACATCAGATTTGAGTTACGATAATATGGCTGGTAGAAGGCAATGCTAGCAAACCTAAAAGAGTCTGGAAAGTTTAAAGATGGAAATGGGTGTACTACTTGTTCCTGGTGTGGGACTGGCACACCCACCCTATTTATACATCGTTATCAATTAAACTAATAAATGGAAAGCCTGCATAGACATAATCTGGTGATTAAGTTATGAAAAAAAGACTTGATAAAGTCCACTAGTTAATTGCGCAACAAAAAATCTCTTTTGCGTTGAACTTATTCCTATGCATAGGCATGCTCACTTTATTACACGAAACCCAATATTTTAATCTGTTGTTTTATTGAATCGTCTAACATGGTATAGTGTAGAATAGCTACAGTATTGTATTTGGTTTCGTCCATACACAAACATCGACCCCCGACTAGATGGACGGACGATATCGTCCGAGTCGCGGGCGTCCGCTGGATGCAGCTGGCGCAATGTCGTCCGTCGTGGCGTTCAAAAGGGGAGGCCTATGTTCAGCAGTGGACGTCTTCCGGCTGATGATGATGATGATGATACACAAACATAACTATCGTCACTTATATTAATGGCGTTACGGCAAATAGTGATGGATTATATCAATAGTTGAAGCGCCCTATTTTTCTATAGAGTTCTCGAATTTCGTCAATTAATGAAAAATAGAAAACTGCGTCAACCTCGGCAATCTGCGGCTCAAGCCGCGGCTTTTAATCTCCATTTACAAAAACCCTTTAAATTATCTTATCGATCCATAGTTCTCCTCAAAAGGTTGCTGTGACAATTTCATTTACTAGAATAATCTAGAAACTGTTCTTACAGTTTTATTTTTCGAAAATATTTTTACTTGTTGATAAAATTATGAGAGTATTGTGATATGAATGTTGTTAATTTTGCTTTTCCTTATTTATTCAGTCTATGTATAAGCTGAGTCGTATTTCTAAATACTAAAACGTTGGTTTTTTTCAAGTGTACTAAAAAATACAAGAACACAGAATTGCACAGAAAAAAGGTGAAACATTCATTTTCTTATTACTTTTTTAGAACTCTATAGGTATTTATAAAATAACACCACTTTCACGAAACACAACGCACTCTGCCCCACAAAAATCGTACTCTATGAGTCTTACAGGTTCCCACCAAACGTTCCAACAAACGTCAAATTGATATAAGTAATACAATCGAAAACTATAATTCACAATGCATTATTTAATATTCGATACACAGTTCCCAAGTTTTTATACTGTAGATAACTTCACTGCGATAACGGTTTGTATATATATATTTTTTTCTTTAGCACACCGACGTTCATAGCATTTCAATGGACGTTTAAGCTCGTCAGGGACTATTCAGTTTTTAAATAGTCGTTCGTGTTTTTCATTTTTATCACTTTAGTCTGTATCGCTGGTGACTTTTGAATGCCTTTATACTCGCGTATTATTTCAGATAGTTCGCTGTTTTTCTTCGTGGAAATTATTATTTCAAAGATGATTAAAGATGTAGAGGTAATTATTTTTTTCTATTATCAGAGACGAGGTTACTCGGAGTGAAATTTTTAAGACTATGGTATTGTATTTCCATTAAAAAAGTAAGTAAAATTTTAATAAAAACAATTTTTTAAATATGGATGTCATTTTGTAGCCAATACCTGATATTGTGTAATATTATATTATCGTAATGTAATGGGTGGTTAATCGAGACTATTATTATATAGAGATAACATTTTATTAATACATAAATTCGAAAATTATTGGACCTATTTAACAAGCCTTTCAGCAAAAACTCAAAAACGATTGAATTTCCGATATACTTAATAGAAAAGACTCACGATTTGATCATATTCTTCCTTTACTTTTATGCACATTTTAAAACTGATAGTCGCATAAAGTTGTATTCAATGTAATGGAATTTCTTTAAATAAATATTCAATACAATAGTATTCAAAGCAAGAGTATATGTAAGTACTTTATAGTACGACCACTTACAGATAACCGACGTAATGTTATCCATTCGTACGATTGATATATCTGAGATTCATATAAAACATAAAAAAATTGCACGTCATATAAGACGAATGAAAGAAAAATAATTCTTGGTCGATATTATAACACCCAGAAGCCTCTGGAGTAAGCTTAAAAAGAACCTAAGAATAGATCTCTTTTTTACTCAGATAACAGAAGGTTTTATGAAAAAAAAAACGTATGGAAAGGTGGAGGGATCCCAAGGGTGACTCGTTGCCACTTCGTTACACTGACGAACTGAGGTGCGGACTCCGGGAGAAATTTTGTGTCTTTATTTTTTAAGTGTCTTTCCTTTATGTATTCTTTATCACACGTACTTCGATATTGTGTTTAAGGTCGACTTTTCAATCTTCGTCTATGTCATTGCT